TACCTGACCATGTCGTTCAAGAGCCTTTAGGAATAGCTGCTGGGAAGAGTTTGGAAAGGTTCAGAGATGTTGCCTGAAAGAGTAGCATTAGAATGCCTTAGGGTGTTCTATATGAAAGACTCTGTTCAGAGCTCGGAAGACCAGAAAACTGATAGAAATCCTGCTGGTGAAAACCAGGATCAGGAGGTTTCTGTTGGAAAAGACTGCATTGGCTGTTGGAGTACAGACAATGTGTGCGATGGCTTGGCAGAATGTTTGTCTGCATTTTGCTCATGTCCAGAAATTCTGCCTGAGACTAAGATTAAGGGTGGTGGAGTAATTAATCTGGCAGAAAAAATTTCAAGGCAATTGAATGTTGAGGCTGTGGCATGGCTATTGTTGGGGGGGGGGGGTAGCCAGATTTATGTTGAGAACCAAGAGCAAATACACCAGTAGAATGATTTACAATGTTGTGAGTTTGGCCAGAAAGAAAGCTCCAGTAAAGCTGTGAACCACAAAGATAGAGAAGAGGAGATGTTGTTTGCTGAGAAGGAACAAGAGAATATAAAAGATGGCCGGAGGGCATCAAAAGAAGCAGCAAGTCTCCACCCTTTGTAGCCTCACCCTTTGTAGCCTCAAAACTGCAAAAAAGTGAAAGACTTTACTTTGAGAAGAAAGTCACAGGGCACCACATCCCAGAATGGAGCAGCAACATTATCTTCCAGAATGGCAGTGGTATAGAGAATTTGTTCCCCAGCATTGTCAGGGTCTGCCTTCATACTTGCTAAGACAGTGAACACATCCTTGTCTGAAGCCACCAGGTTATGACAGTGTCGCCCCTTAGCTTACTTGTGGACTTCTGCAGAGATCTTCCCCTCATCAACTTTCCTGTCTCCACTGCAACTTGCCAGACAGAGCACAAATAAGCCATTGTTTTCTCCATCTTAAAAAAAGAAAATCTCTCTAATGACTCACTTTCCTCACCGGTTATCTCCCAGTTTCTCTGCATTGTTTGCAATAAAACCTTCAAAACTCAACAGTCTCTGGTTCCTCTCCTTTCACTCTTCCTTGACCCACTCCAATCAGTTCTTCTTTGCCTGTGCTCCTGTGCCTGAGTATTCTTGAGTGGATCACCGGGCCCTCTGTGATCAGTCCAGCTGATCCTGAGACCTCCTCTCAGCAGCATTTAACACCTTTTCGACACTCTCTCTCCCCTTGACTCTCAAGTCTCCTCCAGAGCTGTTCCCTCCTTCTCAGCCCCTTCAGTGGCTTCTCCTTCTTGCCCTCTTGCCAGTGCTGGAGGTGCCAGGGCTCACTCTTTGGCAGGAGTCACCATTCATCCTTACTCCTTTTGTGATCACTGAAGTTATGTGATTTTTTTTTTTTAACCACCGGGAATCAAACTCACGACTTTGAGTTTGCCAAGCAGGCACTTACACTGCTGAGCTAAACCCCCAGCTAAACTTTAGAGATTTTTTTTTATCAGTACTGGGGATTGAATTCACAACTGCACATTTGCAAGCTAGGCGCTTATGCCACTGAGCTACATCCCCAGCCCCAGTTATGTGATTTTTGAACCTGTCTTTATATCAAATGACAGTTGAGAGTCTGTGTCCCAGATCCTCTTGCTGACCTCCAGTCTCAGGTAGCCACTGCTCACTCGACATTTCCAGATGTCTTTGTCCATTCATTATTGCTGCAGCAGTGATCACCATAAACATCACCTGAAACAGCCATTTTTCTCTTGGAATTTTATTCTGTGGGTGTGAAGCCTGGAGAAACTGGACTGGGCTCTCTTACGAGGTCTGAAGCAAGGTAGATGCCAGACTGGGCTCCTATCTAGGGACTCTGGGGAAAAACACACACCCAATGCATTCAGCTGCAGCTGGAAGACAGGTGTTCTGTGCCCTGAGGCTGTTGTCAGGGGCTGCTCTCAGCCTCTGGAGGGCACACGTCCTGGCACTTGGCCCCTTCATCATAGGCAATACCATTCCAAAATGTTCTTGTGCTCCACATCTTTCTGATTTCCCTCTTTGATATCAGCCAGAAAAAACTATTGGGGTAATGTGCCAAAGATGGACACTCATCAGGACAGTCTCTCTGTTTAGTACTAGCTCACTAGTGAACTGAATCTCATTTATGAAGTTATTCATTTCACAAGTAAAATCACATGTTTACAGGCAAGATCTCACATTCATATTGCCAGGGCTAGGGCAGGAATTCAGGGAGCAGGCATATATGAAATTCTGCCCTCTACGATATCTGACACTGTGTGTTGGCACAGTCAGCGTTCAGTTGCTGTGAGCAAATACCTGGGAAAATAACATAAAGGGAAGATTTCTTGGCCTTATGGCTCCAGAGGGTTCCATCCATGGCTGGCTAGAAGTAGGCTAGGGCCTGGTAAAGTGACTGGGGTTGTTGGGCATCACATAAATAACAGAAACTTGGTAGCCATGCAGACACAGGTGCACAGCAGTGGCTCCTGAGCCTGGCACCTAACCCTAACCCAAAGCCCAAGGCCCAGCACCAAGGTCCACAGACAGCACCATCCACTGTCCAAACAGCAACCAAGGGCTGCTGGGTCCTCTTCCGAAGTTACTGCAGAGGGCACCTCTGCAGAAGCCTGTCAGGGGCTCTTTCCCTAGATCTTAGGCACAGAGTGCAGGGTTCGCAGTGGTGGAGAATTCGTGTCTCTCTGCTCCAGGCCCACACACCTCTCTCTATCCAGATTCCCACATTCCTCAGAGCACTCACATGCACTGGTGTCCCCTCCAAGTCTGGTGCAGGATGGGACTCCCTGAGAGAAGCTAGGGGCTCTCAGGTGTCCATACCAACCCTGCACAGTAAGGACAGCAGGGCACAGGAAGTGGCACAACTCCCCCACCGAGGAGCACAGGGGCTGGAGCTGGGCACTGACCTCTAAGACCAGGCCACTGACCATAGTGACTGGTGAGCACACCCTCCTGACCACACTGGAAATCCAAGCGCAAATAGACCTCTGAGATTTTCCGTTTAGTCAAAATGAATTCAATGCGGAGTGAAAATCACCGCTTTTTGAAGCAGTCTGTAATTTTCACGTTCTCCTGGGAAGGTTTGCCCTGCTCCACCTGCAGGCCCTGATGCATGGCTGCTTTTCCCCTGATCCACAAGACACCGTGAAGTCTGATCCCATCTGTTGGCAGCAGAGCCTCCGCAGCTCCTGCATCACACCCGCAGCTCTCTCCCCACAAATGCCCCGCGGCACAGCAGTCAAGGGCTTGTGGCCTTTACCTCTTCCTGTAAGAGGAGAGCTCAGGTACTGTGAATCCCCCAGGCCTGGGATGCTGGGCCAAGGGCAAAGGCAGCCCCTCTGTAGTCCCCGCCTTCTCCTCTCCTTGCAGGCCTGCTGACTCAGCTCAGGGCGGTTGCTTCCCCTAGGGCAGTGGTGGTCACACAGGGAAGCACAGCGCCCCCTGCTGAGGGGTTGGTGGAGCTCACCCAACTGCAGCACCACCCATCCTCGCCCTGAGCCCACCCTGGCTGCCAGGCCCTTCCACACTCGCCTCCCCTGGCCCATCATGCCCTGCCCTGCCTTTTCCTCCCCATGCTGCCCTCTCATCTGCTCTGCTCTCCTCTCACCTCAGCCACCATTGTTCACATCTCCTCTGATGGCCTGGACTCCAGCACTGGAGCCAACAGGAACAGCACTTGCACCAAACAGTGGCAGGCCAGCTGCCTGCGTGACAGACACACATCTACCATCCAGCCAGTGTGTGTCCCCAGCCCTTCACCCAGGCACCCCCACTGTCCAGTCAGGGGGCCAGTCCATGCTTCCCAGCTCCACCCAGTCTGTCTGGGGTTGTCCCTTGCAGTGTGCAATGTCTAGCAGCCTCTCCACCCTCCTCCAGCCACACACGGTAACAGCCTCCAGTGAGGTCAGCTGTGTCCTTCCAGGAGGGTGTGCTCTCATCCTAAGCTGTGGCCAATGCAAATGTGACATTATTGGAGATAGAGTCCACAAGTATGATTCAGATGTAAATTAAAATGACACAGATACCAGTTCATCCCCTTGGGATGTGGACACAAATTGGGATTGTGCACAGTGTCGTCCTAGTGCAGCTGTTTCAAGGAACCTCCATACTGTTTTCCATATGGCTGTGCTAATTTACACTCCTGCCAGTGTGCACACAAGTTCCACATTTTCTTCTTCCTCACAGCACTCATTATACCTTATCTGTGATGATAGTTCTCCTGGAGGGTGCTATCTCACTGTGGTTTCCATTTGCATTTCTATGCTCTCTAGTGATATGTGGTACCTTTTCTTATACCCACTGGCCACTTGGAAAAAATGTCTATTCAAGTCTTGCATTAGTTTTTTAATCAGATTCTTTGTATTTTTACTATTGAGTTATGTGAGTCATTTACATATGCTTAGTACTAACCCCTTATCAGATATATGGTTTGTAAGTATTTTTCTCCCTTTCTGTAGCTGCTGCTTAATTTAAATATTGTTATATTACAGCATTAATCACATCACCCAAGGTACAGAATTTGCCTAAATGTCCATCAGCAGATGGATACAGATGGACTGCTTTTGCTTTAAGCCACCTGGCTTGGGTAATTTGTCTTCAAAAACTAATACACACACGCACACATCTGCAGCAACCAAAAATTCCTCAGCTGACCCCCAACATCTCATTTCCTGTTAAGAACCCTGGTATAAGGGAGTATAAGCAAATTTCCTTTGTATTTTTAAGAGTAAAATTACTAGGACGAGGATGGTTTGACCTCTGACTTCTACCCATCCAATGGCTGTGTGATGGTATCTCTAAATCTTCATTTGTCCAGATCATATATTTGCAGTCATTGGAGTTTCTCCATCTCATAACCTTGACCCACTTTTCCATCAGATACACTGCATTTTTCCTACTGGTTTTAAGAGTTCCCCACATATTCTTCACACTCAGCTCACACTGGTTTTATACTATGCAAATATCTCCTCCTGGCCCCTCCTTTAACTGCTTATCAATTTTTCACCTCAGAGCTTTCCTCCCTGGTAAGTGGCTGCAGTATGGCAGACGGTGGACCTTCCCCGGGGAGAACCAGCAGTGGCTCCTGAGATCCTCACCATGTTGGAACTTAGGATGCTGGGAAACCAAGCAAGCAGCTCCCCTCCCTGGTAAGTGGCTGCAGTGTGGCAGACTATGGCCCCTCCAGGGGGAGAACCACCAGCATCTCGTGAAATCCACACCATGCTGGAACTTAGGACACTGGGAAACCAAGCAACCAGCCTGCCTCCCTGCTAAGCAATAGTGAACCTACTGGTGCACCGCCTAGAGTCAAACATCCCGCTTCCCTTACCCCGCTTTCCTTGTCCTCCCCCCAACCCTGTTAGCAAATGGGAACCAGAAATCTCCTGGGAGGTTGACCATAGCAAATAAAGGAAATTTCCTTCTACCATCTCTTTGAAGGCAAATATTTTTATTACTATTTTGTTCTATTCTGATTAATGGTACTGCTCTATTCAATATTCTGTTTTGGTAAGTTCTATAATGTTCTGTATTTCATTTTATAGTGATATACATGATTGAAAGAACAACTATTATAAAGATAACGAAATATACTGTGATACCTATTACTGTTATCCTGGTAACCTGCTGATAAGTTCTGTACCAATTTCACTACACAGTCTCAGTTGACTTTATTCTGTCTTGTTCTGTTGTATTTTACTACTTTCAAAATTTTAAAAAAAGTGAATTTCTCACCTCAAAGCATAGGTTTCAGGATACTAAACAAGATGAGCTTTCTATCCTGTAAGTGTTAGCCAACATTTAATTCCACTAGCTATAAATTTCTATCCTAAGATTCATCATCTATAGTTCACTTTTGTGCCTAGTAACTGTTCAGAATTTAATTTTACTGTCCTCCCTACAGAAGCAGATTTCTCAGTGCCCTGGACCCAACTCCCATCCTGCCCTGATGCCTCGGGTTGCCGTCTCCCTCCCAGGTCAGAATCCATCTCTGGAAGCCCCTTCCCAGTCTCTAACTGCTGACACTGGATCCGTAGCCCTCCTTCCTGCCCACACTGCTGCCGCTGCTGCTGGCTTGGTGTGTGCCCTCCTATCTGGTGAGATACATTCCTCCTCCTTGAACTTAATTTCAAAGTCAACTTAGCAATTCCAAACAGGTTTAGTATTCTGACACCTAAATTTAGAACAAGCTTTTTATGTTCTCAAAATTCTGCTAGATTTTAAATTAGAATTGTATTTAACTTGTAGATTTGTGCAAAAACAGAAAATACAATATTAAGATACTTCACCATGAATGTGATGTTTTTGCATCACACATTTAGGTCTTGACACATCGAGGTTGAAACACAGAATTTAAAAGGCCCACCTGGGGAAGGGAGGGGTGGAAAGAGGATGGTAAAGGATCCAGGGATGTGGCAGATGGGGAGGGTGATTGATAATGGCCTACAGCACACGGTAGGAGAGCTACAGTTGACAGCCAGCCACAGAACATCTCAGATTATCTGGCAAAAATCTAGGAAAGGAGACTTCGAATGTTCCCAACACAAAGAAACGGTACCTGTCTGAGGTTCAGCTACACCGGCCACCCTGACCCTCATACACTAGAACGGGTACTGAAACACTGCAGCTGACATCACAAAGCACGATCTGGCCATCTGACACCATGCACGTGGCTCTGTAGTCAGAACCACGGGTCCCAGCGGACATGGTAGCACAGGTAACTCCAGCACTCTGGGAGGCTGAGACAAGAGGGTCACCAGTTCATGACCAGCCTCAGTAACACAGTAATTTATCAAGACCCTGTCTCAGAATTTAAAAAATAAATAAAAAGGGCTAAGAATATAGCTCAGTGCAGAGGCCCTGGGTTCAATCCCCAGCACCTCAAAACAAGACAAAATGAAATCTTGGGTTCTGAGTATCAGGATTCTATGGCCTAGCTCAGTCAGTGGTGCTTCAGCCACTGCTAGTGGCCACCTGGAACCAAGGAGACATCCCCAGTGCTGGTACCCGAGGCATGCAGCCAAGGCCCTCAGAACTTGCCTTCATGGGAAAGAAACCATTCAGCTTCCGTTAATTTGCTGCTAGCATCTCTGAAAAGCCTTTGCTATTGAAATGCAATAGCTTGTTACTTTATTTCCAGCAGAAAAAGCTATGTGTGGTTGTCTCATCTCTGAGTCAATCATGGCTGAGGAAATAATAGAGGAAATTAATCACATGCACCACACCAGTGCCTGCAATGACTGCTTTTTAATTTGGGAAGAATTAAATTTCTCTTCCCGATACCGGTGTCTCTATGTCCTATGTCAAGGTGATGTCAGCTTCCACAGGGTGGAACGCACTGTCATCCTGTCTCAGGTCGGTGCTGGGGACCTAGTGCTGAAAGCTGTCAGGAAGAAACTACACCCTGCAGAAGTCCCTCATGAGGCATGCAAATGACATGGAGGCAGAGCCCCTAAGCCAGCCTCCACTCTGAGAAGGGTGCCCCACTCCAGGAAGGCAAAGCGTCGCAGCCTCACATTAGGAACACGCATGTTTTCATCTACCTCACATAACGAGATCTGGCCTGCTCCCCAGGCAGCCTTGGAGCGATGTGAGCCTGCAGGCAGCCAGCTCTCCCTGCATGACACAGTGATGGGCCGCTCTGTCAGGAACGGTCATGCACACCTGTAATTCCAGGCCTCATGTCGGAGGCTGAGACAGGAAGACTGCTACAAGCTCCAGGCCAGCCTGAACTACATAGCAAGATCCTACCTCAAAAAAAACAAAAATAAAGAAACAGAGGGAGGAAGGGGATAGAAAAGAGGCATTTCCCAGCTCAGCTGGGATCCCCTTGCTGTTTGGGGAGTGTGTCCACATCTATGTCTCCACGTCTCCCTGCAAGTCAGCACCCAAGAAGGAAAGCCGGGGCGGGCAGGGCAAGGGAGCCTTCTGCCAGTGCAATTGCAGCCGTCATCGTCAGCCCATGGCGCTGGCAGACTTCATCTTCAGGAACAGCAAGACACTCGGGACACATGTGTGGCCCTTTCTTGTTACATCAGACTTTCTTCTTACCCAAGAGACATTAAAGTCTGCAATAAAACTCCCCAGTGACAGAGGCAGATACTGGAAATACTCAAATGCTCGAGGCTGACTCGTCTTCCCAATCCCTGCACTGATTCTGTCTGTGCCACAGATTTCTCTAGAAGGTGTAGGATTCTCCAACCTTCTCTGCCTCCCTCCACTGCCCAGTATCACCTTCTTGAGGCAAGCAAGACAGACCCTGAGCCACTAGGAACAAGGAGGGCCCCCATCTCTCCCTGCAACTCACTTTGTTCTACCAAAGCCAGACAGCCCCAGTGGGAGGCACAGCTCCCGGCCCTCTCGGACTCATGACATGTGGTGCACACAGGAAACCTCAGAACATTCCTAGCCTCTGGGAAGCCCTGAGGCTGCAGTGAGCACTGTGACTCCAGAGCGAATCCCTGAAGCTGGTGCAGCAGTGTTCCTGAACCCTCCCAGACTCTCCACAGGCTGGCAAGCTGAAGAGCCTGACTTCACCAGGCTCTGGAAATGATACAGATGCATACTGCCCTCCGTCACCCAGGTTATAAATCACAGTGAAATACAAACTGTGCACAGCAACGTAAATGCAGCCTCAAGCAGCCCTGCCATCCTGTGGAGGCACAGTCACGCCCTGCTCTGGGTGTCTCCTGGAGTCTCTCCCACAGTGACAACAGAAGGCCTCCTTTCCCACACTGGCAGAGGTTACCAGAGATCGCAAACACATCCCCCAGTATGTCCACCCCACCGGCACTGGGCCAGGGTCCCACAGTGACGTCCAGGTCACAACGCTGGACAACAAGGAGATAGTGCACAGCTTCCACAGAGGCCTTCACACCCTCCTGACTGTAATTAATCACACTGGACTCCCCAAGATGCCGTAATTCACGAGCCGGGTCTAAAGTGGTGTCGGGGGACACTCTGGCACCAGGTCTCTCCTCAATCCATCACGCCAAGGGATAATATGTCATAGGGTTGTTAGCAAGACATAAATAATTCAGAAGCATGAGTCCCGTGGGGCCTGAGAGAAGAATTAGGCTTAACTTTATTTTAAAGTCATAAAATCTACTTTGGATCTGCCACAGTGGATGACAAGCCCATTTAAAACCCAGCCATCGATCCAGTACTTTTTATAGCTAACGAGTTGATTTAAACTCCACAGCCCCTGGCCCAAAAAACTTGCTTACTTTTGAGATCAAAGACACATCTGAGTGAGAGGAGCTGGAATCAGTGAGGCAGGAGAAAAGACTGCTTGTTAATCGCACAGGAAAGTAAGGCTGAGCTGAGTCCCGCACCCGAGAGACTGCTCAGGCCCATCAGTGCCAACTACGAAGTCTCGCTGCTCGGCTGCTGGACATTTCGCCCACTTCCCAGGGCCCGAGATAAAGTCTGCCCCAGAGGCAAACTCTGTGCACTGAAATTCCAGGAGGAGTGGATAGGGACCCTCTGGGAACACGCTGCAGCATACTGTAAGTCCAGAATGGCTATCCTAGATGCTGAGAGGCACAGTACATAGAGAGTGTGGGTAAAGGGAGCTGAAAATGAGCCAGAGAGGAAAGGAAGGGCTGGCAGAGAAAGACACACAACTTGTCTCCATCGTGCAACTGGGAGAGCTGGGGAAATAACCCCAGACAGCCACTGAGGGCCTGGGGAAGCAACTGAAGTCCGAGTCTTGCTGTGGACGCTCCTAGCTCAAGCCTGGGAAGCCCTAAGAGAGAATATTTCCTTTCACAGAGAACAGAATGGAAAAGACAGCATCCAAAGCCATCAGCTGTGTCCTGAGAGATGCCAAGCAGAGGTGGAGAAGGAGATGCACAGTACCACCCGATAAATTACCTGGTTGCCAGAGACCCTGGCTTCACCCTGCTGGCTGAGGCCCGAGGAATTAACTTGTGCTGGGGTGTGCACCAGCCCGGGGGTACCAGAGTCGGGCTGCAGGGCCAGAAGCTAAACAAGTTTGAAAAAAATAATCTTGAGCAAGACAGGAGGAGCCAAGGAAGGTCCAAGAAAACTAACAAATAAAAAGCATTCACAGAGCAGACAGGAAAAGCTGTGGAGGCAGAGAGCAAACCTCAGCTTAAGTCACAGGGGAAGCCAGGCTGATGCTCAGGCCAACATCACAGGCCCAAGGAGCCCACAGGCGGCAAGCAGGACCCCATAATGCTCTCCCCTCACAGAGCAGGCCCCTCCCTGTGAGGAGGGCCTGAGGGCCACACAAAGCTGGGCGCAGGGCCAGGAGGAGCCGGCAGAGTCCACGCTGATGCCTGGCACAGCTGCCCACTGAGAACTCCACCAGGCCACACAGAGCCATCTGGGGCCACGTCCTGGCCTTGTCCTGCCGGCCACAGGGTGACCTAGGGAGCCGGGACTTCTCCAGATGCTCAACTCCCTCATGAAAGAGCAAGCATTGGTCCTCACTGTGCCGTTCCCACTACACTGTGCCTGTGTCCTCGCTGCCTCTGTTCTGGTCTAGACCAACGGCTGTGTTCATTTCAGGAAAATCACAGGTGTTAATTCTAAACTTTCACTGTGAGCTGTTCATGGAGACCCCATAGAACCCACAGTTCCAGATCCAAAGCCCTGCACTTCTGATCTCAAAACTTCCTTGGCTACAAACAGGCAAGTCCAGAGCTGCTCCTGATCTTTTCATAAGTGACCGAGTGATTTTCACACCTACTCCAAGCAAAACTTCAGAGTGCAGCTGTGGCCCCCAGTTGACCCCCAGCCCCGCAGACAGCACGGCATGCAGGGCATTTCCCCCCACACTGAGCAAAGCGCTGGAGCAGAGGCTCAGTACGCATTACTAACGGTTTGCTGCTCCTCCCATCTGAAGAAACCAGATTATGTTCAGGCTGTGGGACAGAAACCAACCACTCTTCAGAAGACACTGCAGCCAGGTACTGTGGTGCACATCAGTAATTCCAGCACTCGGGAGGCTGAGGCAGGAAGGTTGCTGAGACTTGTAGGCCAGCCTGGGCTCCTTAGTAAAACTCTGCCTCAAAACAAAAAATCTATTGGAGGATGAAGAGAATATCAGAGTCTCAAAGAAAGCCAGAGTCATCAGGGAAATGAGGCCGAAAACATTAAAACATTTCTTTAAAAGTGGAGCTAGCA